CGCAGTTTGTTTACAAGTATCAAAGTTGTAATTGAGGAGCTGCCAAGGCACATCTGGATATTTTTCTTCTTCTTCTTCTTCTTTGTGTTAGGGACTGATGTGCAACTAATTAAAGGCAGACAGGCTGGTAGCGTCTGCACGCTCAAGCCCCCCCAAATAAAGAGCCTGGTAAGTGACTGGTTTGCTTCCCCCCCCCCCCCTTTTCCCCCCTGATTCTTCGTGGGTTGTTTTTTCTGTTTTGCTTTTTTGTGGTTTTGGTTATTAGGTTTGTTTGTTTGTTTTTAGAGGGGTCGTTTTTTTGTGTTTTTCAAATTTTGTCGGTTTGTCGGGGGCTCTTTTTTTTCTGTTGTTCTTGTCCTCTGGGATCGTAAAAGTAGATTAATGCTAGACTTGGGCAATAAAAGGCATCGCTATATTAATTTATTAATTAATCTGCACCCGCCCCTCCTCCTGAATGTTAAATATGACCTTTGATCTCTCTGTCTTTGGCAGAGCAGATATGCAATACTGAACATGTACGGTCACATTTAGCTTAAGCAGGGACAGAATCGCAAAGCCTGGCTAGCAATTTCTATTTATTTATTTCATTCGTGGAAAAGAGAGCGATAGTTAGGGGGGGGGGAGGGAAATCAATAACTGCGTCTCGGGTACCCTTTTCATGCTCCGGAGATGCATCGATTAAACAATAATGACCCGGTTGGTGGGCACCATCATTTTCTCGCTGCTGGTGGCAATAAACCCCGAGAGGGGATCGCGGGGAGAGAAAAGGTAGCCAGCGAGGGACGCTTTTGTGGAGAGAAGCCACTTTAATGCTGAGGGGAATAGGGCAAGAAAATGTGTATGACTTCTGGCATAAAAGGCTGAACGCTAACGTTTTATTCCTTACCAGATGCGGGGCATTCACACACATGGCTGGAAAAACTAGTTTTATTGAGTAGTTGTTATCGAGGATATGCAGCTACGTTTTCCTTTCTGGAAACGGGAAAGGTGGTTTGTTTTTGGTTGATTTTTTTTTTCTTTTGCTATATGCAAATCCTTTGCATCCCTCCACGAGACGATGCTTAGACTAGAGCTTTCCGGGCAGCCTTTGTATTGCCACTAGACCTCTGAAGGCAGCGAGAGTCTGGGTTTTTCCCTGACGTGGAAACACAGAGGTGGCTCCTGCGGGTTCGGGGTCGTTGTGGGTTTTTTTTGTTGTTGTTGTTTTTTTTTTTTCTCCGACGGAAAGACGCCCGCCGGTCCCCAGTGCAGCCGGGGGTGAGGTTCCTTCTGTAGATTTACGCTCCCTTCATCTGGATTTGTTTACATAAAGCCCGCTTTTTAGTGCACGACGTTGGGAGAAGACGAAGTTTTTGCACTCGGTAGGTTGGGCTGCAAACGGTTCATTAATCTAATTATGATCGTAATTACCGTAATTGATAACCATTTTGAACTAAACATACCAGAGTCTGGAAACTAGACGTAGCCCCACGACTGCCTCCTGAGAGAGCGTTTCTGATCGATAGCCCTACATCAGAAAAGATGCTAGAAATATCTGAACTATTCAGGTAGAGCATCTGGAAAACAAAGAGGCAGTGTTCATAAACTGAGGGCTTTTTAAGTTATGCTTATGTTTTGCTTTAGTTCGCGGAGGCTGCTATAATATACCTTCCTCATTGCCATAAACTAAAATACCCCCCTTCACCTCCCGGGGGAAGAAGGGGGCGGTGGGAAATAAAACGGACGCCGTGTCCTTAGCCCCCTCCTAAACTTTCCTAGCCCTGAAGCAGAAAGCCATCTTTACCCGCCGAGGGCTAATTCAAGCAGGTACAGCGACGTGCCCTCCCGAGCGTTCCTGGGCTGTCTCTCCATGAAGCCCCCTGCCCCGCAAAGGGGCTATCCCCGTCTCGGCGTGTGTGTGTGTGTGTCCCCAGCCCTCCCTGCGCAGCCCCCGGCGGCGGTGGCGGGGAATCCTCCCCGAGAGGCTGGGATAAATACTCTGTCGTTAGTACAGCTGCAGGCGCCGGGATCACAGGCTGTGAAATTGCTTAAGTAATTTTTTTTTTTTAACCGAGTCCTGTTCCCCCCCGTGCCCGGAGGCGGCGGGGAGCGCCGGGGGGGGGGGGGGGGGGGGGGGGGGGGGGGGGGGGGCCGGTGCCGCCGCAACCAGCGCCCGGCGGAGCCAGCTGTGCCGGCAGGCAGCTAATGACCGCCGGGCGCAGAAGGACACCGTGGCAGCTGGCGGCTCCCTCCCCCACCTCCCTCTTTTTTCAATTTTTTTTTTCTCTCCCCCTAATTCCTTTTATTTATTTCTCCCCCCGCCCTTTTTCCCTGCCTTTTCATTTTTCCCGGTGCCGGTAGGTGGGCAGCACCCGCTCCCCCTGTCGTGCCCCCCCGCCCCCACCTTGTCCCGGGACCGGGCTTATACTCTGCCCGGGCCGCCCCTTCAAGCCCTCAGCCCGCGGGTAGGGCGGCGTGTGCCCCCCACTCATGTCGTGCCCCCCCCCCTCCTCCCCCCGGGGTGGCCGTGGGCGGCCATGAGCGCCCCCCGCGCGCGCGCACCCCCTCGGAAATGACTTTTTGTGTTTCAGCTGCGGCAGCTCCCGTGAGGATGCCGGAGGAACGGCTGCCCGGCCAGGCACCGACCGCGGGGATGCGCCTAGTGGAGGAGGAGGAGGATTAAGCGACCCCCTTTCCCCTTGTCCCTGTCCCCCCGGCCCCCCATCCCCCTGTCCCGTCCCCCCGCGACGCCCCCCCCGACCCGGCCACCATGAACACCAACGTGTGCGTGGAGAGCGGCCCCAACCCCGAGGCGCCGGGGCTGCCCAAGGACAGCCACCTGCCCGAGGGGGCCCTCAACAGCCTTGTGGATTACAACTCGGAGATGGAGAGGTACCGCTCCTTCGCCACCTTCTACAAGACCAACGGCGGCGCCTTCCCCCAGGCGGCCAAGATCGCCCGCATCACCACCCCCATCTTCCCCAGCGCCGCGGCCGCCGCCGCCGCCCGCATCGGCATGTCCCCCTGGAACTGCGACACCGCCACGGCCGCCGCCGCCACCGCCATGCTCTGGGGCAGCGGCGGCGGCGGCGCGGCGGGCGGCGCGAGGAAACCCTCCTCCTCCTCCTCCTCCGCCGCCGCCGCCGCCTCCGCGGCCGCCGCCGCCGCCTCCTCGCTGCACGCCGGCAGGGGCGGCATGCACCACCGGAGCGACTCGCAGCGGCTGGGCAAGCCCGGCTGCCCGCCGGCCGAGCAGCCCGCCCTGCCCATGGCCAACGGCAACTTCCTCTCCACGCTCGCCCCCGAGCACTGCCGGCCGCTCGCCGGCGACTGCATGAACAAGCTCAAGTGCGGCGCCACCGAAGCCGAGATCATGAACCTCCCCGACCGCGTCGGCACCTTCTCGGCCATCCCGGCGCTGGGCGGCCTGTCCCTGCCCCCCGGGGTCATCGTCATGACGGCCCTGCACTCCCCAGCCGCGGCCTCGGCCGCCGTCACAGACAGCGCCTTCCAGATCGCCAACCTGGCGGACTGCCCGCAGAGCCACGCCTCGGCCTCGCCCGCCTCCGCCCTGGGAGCCGCCGCCGGCGCGGGGGGCGGCGGAGGCGGTGGCGGCGGAGGCGGAGGGGGGGCCGGCGGCACCGGCGGCGGGGCCGGGGCCGGGGCGGGCAACCCCGCCAAGAAGAAGCGGAAACGCTGCGGGGTGTGCGTGCCCTGCAAGCGGCTCATCAACTGTGGAGTCTGCAGCAGTTGCAGGAACCGCAAAACGGGACACCAGATCTGCAAATTTAGGAAATGTGAAGAGCTTAAGAAAAAACCGGGCACTTCGCTAGAGGTCAGAGGAGATGATTTCTTTTTCCCCAGCCTCCCGCCGTCCCTCCTCAACCCCCTGCCCCCGCCCCTCCAGTGCTTCTTGTCTAGCTTCAAGATGCAGCATCCCTTCTCCGAGGCCTCCTTCAGGCTCTGAGGGAGCTCCCGCCGCGGGCGCGGCTCCCCGCGGCGCGGCCCCGCCGCCCGCCCCTCTCCGCCCCGCAGGGAAGAGAAACGCCGCCCCCCGCGGCGCCCCGCGGGGCCGGGCCCCGGCCGATGGCCCCCGGCCCCGGGCCGAGGAGGGACGGCCGGGGGGCGCCGGCCCCCGCCCCGCCAGCTCGTGGCCGTTACGGGACGATGCTAACCTGGTTTCCTGCCGTGCTGTTTCCATAAGACTTGCTGGCTCACTCTGGTTTATTTTTCTTAATTTTTTTCTTTTTCTTTCTTTCTCTTTTTTTTTTATTTTTTTTTTTTATTTTTTAATTAACGGCAATAATGACGATTCGGGGAGGTTTGTAGGGACGGGGAGGTGGGCAAGGGAAAGTTTTAGCAGAACGCCCGGCTCTCGCTGTCAGAAGTTCAGGGGAAAGCAATGGCAAGTTCATATCCAGGTTGGCTGGTAGCAGTTTGTCCCTGACAGACAACTGGCCGTAGAGCCTGGCAGTCGGTGAAACGTGCCCAAGTGCTCTCTTTGGCAATGTCTTTTACGAAATAACCTGTTCGTGGTGTATTAAACACAATGGAAGAATAGCACAGGTATGACTGAACTGATTTCTGACTGAACTGTATGTACGGTTATTTTTACGATGTGTCCTCGGAACTGACAATGTATTGTGCTCCCCAAAGCTGTAACAACAGGTTTTCAGGTTTGCTAGATGTAGGAGAGACAGGCAGATCTCATGTCGCAGACATTTCGGTTAATGTATTGGGTACGACAGACAATGGGAACCAGAATACACATCCGTGAGGAAAACGGCAATTGGATGGTATCCTTAGGGGGAGGAAACGAGAGAAAAGACTAGTAATCACACTTAATCCCTTGTCATTATTAAAATTATAGTGTTGCTGGTTAGATGCACATATCGGATGCATTTGAAGGTGTTGAGGATGATGGATTTAGTACAGAGGAGTAGTGTATGCCAGGTGACACTAAGATTTGTAGTCACAGAAATCAGAAACTAAGTGAGAAATTGCAACTTCCCTCTGTGTGTGTGTTTGTGTGTACATGTGTGTGTATGCCTGTGTATGTTTGCAGAGCGGTTTATTCCCTTGCTCATTACTTGCAGGAGTTCTCTCCAGGAAGAGGTGGGATGAGGGATTCCAGGGAAAAAGCAACACTAAGAGCTAATTAATTTATTTTGTGTTAAATAAATGGAGATAATGGTGTTGATATTGACACTGCCGTGGGACAAAAGCAGCATTTGGGGGTTTAACTGACATTTGGCTGATACCATTAACTCTTTCCTAACCAGCGTCATCAAAACAACTAATTAATTCATTTTTGCAAGAGTGAACTGTCCTTGCTGAAAGTTTGATTCATAGCTCTCCCTCCTTTTAGCTCTTTTTTTTGTGAATGTATGGTGACCCAGCATTGCTAATGCAAAAACCAGGATGGACTTCCAGGGGGATAGAAACTAGATTGGATTTCCAACTCTTGCTTTCCTCAGTAACATGCCTTTGTTGCTTTTGTGGCAAGTTTGCAACAAAGATACTCAATGCCCCACTCTGTTAATGATGGATTATAATGCTGAGTACAGCCTAAAAGAGACTTCTCTGAGTCAGAGGCATGGAGAATACTCCCCACACCACCCAGCACTGGGGTGCCTTTGTGTGCCAGGTTCCCTCATTAGGCTTGCAAACCAGGATGCTGCTGGGATTTAATGTTTGTGATAAATGATAGGTTCTGATGGCTTATCGATTTGTGCAGAAAGTGAGCTATCTCTGGAACAAATTTGTACGTTATCAGATCTTCCTATGGGTTTGTGTGCATCTCTGAGCACATTTCCAGAACTTCCTCACTCCTGACAAAGGTGTTCGACAGCATAAAAACTTTTCAGGCGTGTTATGAGAATGCCGCCTGTTAAAATTGTTTAACCACTGTGACTAGTAAAGCCTGTGGTTTAATTAGGCACTTGTGTGCTCTCATAACCACCTGCCTTCATTTCTTTTCTTCATTTTCTCTCTCTCTCCCCCACTCAGTCTCTCCTGTTTGTGCTCCGTCAGATACGTAAACACAAAAGCTCCTCTGCTGCTGTACTGTGACTCGAAGGAAACAGGTTTCTCTTTCCAGCTGTGGAGATGTCAGTAAGGCATCGTTTCTCTGCAGGTCATGGCCCATCACGAAGTTTTGTCACGGGATTTGGCTGATTTCTTTACAGAAATGTGGTTTGTCAGTAGGAGAGGAAGAACAACTTTCTTCTGTGGTTGTTTTCCTTACGTCTTCATTCTTCTTCTTTTTTAAAAAAATAAATTACCTAATAAAAAGTGACAGCAGAGCTGCCTACAGCACAAGTGCAGCAGCAGTGCTCTGGCCGTACAGCCACCAGCTGGAAGGGTGTCAGAGAGTAACAGGGCCTACATCAGGGCACTGCAGCGACAGTGTTGGTGTTGAGGGGCAGGCAAGGGCACCCCTGCAGAGTGAGCCTCTGGAGTGACTCATTTGGCCTGTGCTCCTGGGGAAGCCCCCACTCTGTCTGTGTGATCCCCTGGCACCTCGGTAGGCACACTCCCATGGAAATGCATCAAGGATTGAGGGGCTCACATTCCACTACACACGTGTAAGACACTCTTGTGAATTGTGCTCAACAGTGGCTGCAAGTTGCAGGGGTGATTTGAGGCAAGGGGTGGAACCATGTTTAAAAACAAAATAAATGAAACGTGAGAATAATACCAATAAACTGGCTGATCCCATGAAAACCATTTCTCTCTTTTTCCTTTAAGTCTCTTCTACTGGTGCAATGAAGGCATAGGCTATAACTCTCAAAGTTAGTACATGGGGTTGAAGACAGATTCACATGAATGCTTTCTAGTCCCTGACCTGCACATTTTTAATGGAATGCTTCTCACCCAGCATTTTTTTTTAAACACTTGAATTACTTTTTCCTACTTTTCTTGTACTATTTTCACATTAAAAGTGTCCCAATGCTCTAGTATTTTTCATAGAATGTTATTATTACTAGGAAATTTTATGTACGGCAATAATAAATCTATAAAAATGAGATTGACGTCACGTTGCACGCTGCCTACTTGTGTATGTATATTCTGTGTTCATTCAGATTTACAGTCAGTTTAAAGAGACATAATCTTTATTTACCCATAGAGACTACTTATTTTCCTCTGATTGGTGTATGTGTCTATAACTTCTGCTGTAGGTTATGAAGATTAGGAGCCTGACGATAGTTTACATTCCCCTCTCTTTGAAGTGAGCCACCTTCATTCAGTGTATGCATCTCATTTGCCCTGCTCCTCATTTTCATTAGCAAGGCAACAAATTCAGGCAGAGAGGCTGACTTGCACTGGAGGGGCTGAAGGGTCCAGCCCAAATGTGGACTATCATCTGTTATGGGCATGCTGTCATCATAGCTGGTACCACTTGCTTTCTTTGTAACAGCCCATCTAATTGATACACGCGCTCTTAAAGTGAATGTTTGCATACCAACGTGATATAGTCGATACCAGCCTCCGAATCCGAGGCACCTCGCTGAGTTGCATTTCAAACCAGCAGGAGTTTGAGATGGCCTTCTCCAGGGATAGGTTGTGATGATTGATTTCAGCAGGAACGGCGTCTGATCCTGAAAATCTTAACACCATATGGCATTGCCATGGGGGAGAGAGGCTACGCTGGCAACCTCCGAACTTGCACTTCGTGTTGCAGTAGCGTGTGTGAGCGCATTAAGGGAAGACTGCTGAGCTCTGTGGATAGGGGTCAATTAGTAGGGGCCTCAGAGGAAGCAATTTCCCTGCCGCCTATCTAGCTTTAAATTACATGCACAAGTTAAGTGACGGCATGATGGAATTGAGTGGTGTGAGGGGGAACTGTAAAGTCTGATAAGGAGCAGGTGGCTAACACGATCCAACTGGCTAACTGGAAGGTGGAAAGAAAGGCCACCTTGTAGCCTGTGTTGCCATTCATCACTTAACATCAGCAGTGTTGCTGTATGACAGTCC